ATTTTGGAATTTAAAATAATTTTAAACATGTTGTTCGAATTCCAGTTTTGAATTTATACTGGTCAAAAGCCATGGTCAAAAACATTAGTTTTATCTAAATCTGTTCATACTTGGATATGAAAAGGTTCTAGTGTGTTGATTATCTTTCCTAGTGATTGTGCAAGAAGTTTTGATTTTCTGAATCCTTTCTTACAAAATTTTTCTGGATTTTGTGGGTATTTTAAAGAAGAAATGCAAAGAAGTTTGTGTTTTTGCCTAGTTCCATTTCCATTGTTGTTATTAGCTACAGTTGATTTGGAAATGCTTATCCATTTTTCAGAAGCTTCTTCACAATATCCTGAATTGAGAATCCATCTTTGGAAAGATTTAAACTTCGTTATCTATTTAAAAATTAAGTTTTTTAGGCATATTGAGATTTATTTCAGCCATTGAATGTTCTAGAACATTGGTTGTTATCAGTGGTGATATTCAACGGGTTCGCACAGGTTCGGCCGAACCCGTTGTTAACATTTTCAAAGTTTTCCGAACCCGTTGTTAAACACACGTAACATTTCTCAGCGGTTTTGTTTATTTAAAAAAATATATTAAAATATACGTATTATACTCTGTAACACTACTAAACTAGAGCCTTATACCCCGTTCGCTATGTTCCCCTTGTACGCCGTTCGCATATAACCTCCATCGACCGTTTCAATCTCGACTGAAACGAGATTTAGGCTGCGTACACACTAGGCGTTTTTAAATGCGCGTTTTAAAGAACCAAGGGTTCTACTAAAGCGCCCGAAAAATGCGCGTTTTAAGAAAAGTCTATAAACGTGCGTTTAACGCGTGCTTGGCCAAAAGCGCGCGTTTGAGGTGTGTATGCCTATGTAGAACTCTTGGTTCTTTAAAACGCGTGTACACACTAGGCGTTTAATAACGCCTAGTGTGTACGCGCGTTTTTAGACGGCGTACACACTAAAGCGTACACACTAAAGCGATTAAGGCTGCGTACACACTTAGGCGTTTAAAAACGCCTAGTGTGTACGCAGCCTAAATCTCGTTTCAGTCGAGATTGAAACGGTCGATGGAGGTTATATGCGAACGGCGTACAAGGGGAACATAGCGAACGGGGTATAAGGCTCTAGTTTAGTAGTGTTACAGAGTATAATACGTATATTTTAATATATTTTTTAAAAGAAACAAAACNTGAAATTAGTGCGAAGTGGCTGTTAGTAGGACGACTTATATGTACTTAACCCCTTCCTGGTCATTTTTTTTTGGAATTTTTAATTACACATCAAAAATACTTAAAACTGAAAACAACGAAAGAAATGCGTTAATTTTCAAGAAAAAGTTTCAAAGTTTAACTTTCATTGTCTTGCTTTTTTGCGAAATCTGACACTAATGAGTCATTGTGTTTACAGCTGGATGACCTTGAAAACAGCTGGTGTTGGATTTCCTGGGACATTCTCATTTAAGCTACAGGAGGCGAAGGGTTTATAGTAGGGTGAATACTGGCTGACCATATATTTTTAAATATTTTTAAAAAATTAAAATTTTTATTACGATTTTTGACCCCCCGACTTAATTAAACTTATATATAATAAAATCTATTAATTAAAAAAATTTAAAAACTATCGGAGGTCGTTTTTGACATCAGAAACTAGCTTTAAATAACTTACCAAAGGAAAATTTGTGTACTACAACTTTAGAACGATGAATGAAATTTGATATCAAACTCCCATTAAAAAACAATTAAAAAGCAATTAAGCGTGAATCGTGCGTCATTAAAGGCAAATTAAAATCACAATAAATTTTTTTCGCGCGGGAAAAAATTTTTGAAAAAATTTGAAGACTTAAAAAACATTCCAAAAATCCAAAAAAACCCAAAACTTTTAGTGGGTCCAAACGCCCGAGTTTTATGTAATGCTATGTAACTTGCCTGAGATATCTCGGGCTTGGGGTTTTTAAGGAAAAAATTTCTGTTGGCGAACCCTTTGTTAAATATTTCGAATATCACCACTGGTTGTTATAGTTATTTCATTTGTTGGTTTTCTTTTTCTTTTTCCATTGATATCACGTAAGTTTTCTTATTACAACAAAAGAAAATTGTCCAAATGAAACTGGAATAACTCTCCATATCATTGTTAGAAATCAAAGATGAAACAATATATTTTGAGTTTTTTGTAATTTCTCTTTTATATTTATTAAAGCTTGCTTGTTTTAATAATATATATGTTACTGCTAAAGCTTGAAAGCCGTTAATGTGTACATTACCTAGCTAATCTCCAGATTAACTAGGGTGATCTGTTAACATGCAGAATCGAGTTTTCTGCATTTTACCTAGGTAATCTGCGCATAAACGGCTTTCGTATTGTTAAAGTTCAAAAGTTTGTTTCTCTCATTTCCTTTCCCTACTCTTTCCCTCTCCCTCCACTTTTAATTCGGTTTTGCCAGTGTCTTGTTGTTGCCAGTTGTTTTTATTTCTCATAATTTGCATTGGCTACCAGTGCGTAGCATAGCTAATTGTTTTCAAATTAATTTCTGCTTGTTAGTACATGAATTTGTGCTGTGATTTTTTTTAAAGTAGATAAATTTAACTCCTAGTATGCAAGCAAGCATTGAATTGGTGAGTGAAATGAAGAAAAGATTATTTGACAACCTCTTTAGCAAAGATTCAAAATATAATAGTGTTTTAATGACAAAACAATAATATGATTCCATAATTGAAGATGTAAAGTGAATAAAAGTTTCCAAGAAGAAAGAATCAGCTCAAGATTATCGAATAATTTAAATTTATGATGTGTTGACTGTACAAAGCTGTGAAAAACTCATTGAGCCATTGTCAGATACGCAAGAGAGTGTGAAAAAGTTTGTCCATACCGACGAATTGTTTGACATATTGTATTTGACTCATTGTAAGGAACTGAGTCCGAGCATTATTTGTAGTTAATTTTTATTTTTCTTTTATTCTATTTTTGTTTGGGGTTTATATTTTGTTAGGACAAAGGTTTCTTCACCACTCAGCTTAGTAACTAAAACAGGCAGATGGACAGATGAAGTAGCCTATAACTTGCTTGATATTTATCTCCTTTTTGGCACTCCAAGTATTTTGCTTTCTGATAAAGGATGTGAATTTTGTAATAAAATCTTAGAATGTGTAACACAGTTGTGGCCAGAAGTCAAAATGGTTAATGGCAAACCTAGACACAGCCAAAGTCAAGGAAGTGTAGACCTAGCAAATCAAGACATTGAAAACATGCTAACTACTTGGATGACTGATAACTAAACTTATAAATGGAGTGAGGGTATACAATTTGTACAATTCATGAAAAATCATGCTTATCATTCTGCGATTAAAAGAAGTCCATACAAAGCCATGTTCGGTTGTCCTGCAAAAGTGGGATTGTCATCTTCTATTATACCACAAAGTGTATTACATTTGATAAATATTGAAGATGATCTTGAAAAATTAGAAGATTTACAAGAGACTGTGATTATGGGATCACAGTCAAATCTTACTTAAGATGACATTCCGTTATCTCTTGCTTCTGCAGAATCACCTATAGAAATACAAGAATTTATCAATAATAATCTTAAACTGCCTTCTACACCGTTGATTGAAGATACTGTTATGAATAATAATCAGTCACCCTGCGCCTCCAAGGAATCACCTCTGCATGTTGAATAAGTCATCACTGAGTTACCCTCAACTTCAGCAGAATTGCCATCACAGTTTTGTACATAGCCTGTAAAGAGGACTATACAAGACATGGTCTGTATTGTTTGCTCAAAAGCAGTATCAAGTACTCACAAGTGTAAATTGTGTGATATGTTTGTTCACGTAGTTTGTGGTGAAATAGATCCTAAAGATGAAGGGTATGGTAAGAATGTATTGTGCAACATCTGTAAAAAGAATATGAATCAGAAAATACAGTGTAATGAAGCCAAGAAATGTTTAGAAAAGCAAGCAAAGAAAATGTTAGCAGTTTCTAATGCGAAGCACCCAAATGTTGATGAAGGTGTCACTGTGAGAATTAAAGTACCCAAAGAAGACAGAGCAAAACTGATGCATGCTTATTTTAGCTGTGGTTCTTAGTAAAACAGAGGATATGGCTTTTATAAACTTGGTACTAAAACAGGTATTTTAAAATAATTGTATGGCAAAATCTGAATTCAGTATTTGCAAAGAGAGATTTTTAATGAAAGAATTTTTATGTCTCTGCTGTAGAAATATCTTTACGTCAAACAGCAATAAAACAATCCCTTGATACTGGGCAGGGTTTCAGAAAATGTGACTGCAAATCTAAATGTACCACAAATAGGTGTGCTTGTCACAAAAACCAATTGCTATGTAATTCAAAGTGTCACCAATCTTTAGATTGCACTAATAAGTAAGCACAATTTTATCATATGTTTTGCAAATTCATTTCCCTAATTATAAAAATATTTTAAACCGTTTGATTTTTGTATTAGTTTTTTTAATTGATGATTGATTCTATCAAGTAATTTGTTGATTGTTTGATTGTATTAACTTGATTCTTTAGATATCAAATATTAAATAAATAACATTATGTTAATTTAAGAGTACAGAAACATTGCTGTTGTTCCAGCAAAGATCTTATTTTCACTTTACTGAGTGTCTAGTATGTAATGTGCAGATTACCTAGATAATCTGCACATTACCTAGGTAATTTGAGAAATAGAACAATTTTCAAAACTTTAATGGATCTGGAAATTAGTTAGGTAATACACACATTAATGGCTTTCAAGCTTTAGCAGTAACATATATATGAAAATCACAATTATATTTCTATCATTTATATTTTTAAGTAAAATAAATATTAACTGTTGAATTTTACTAAGTTTTTCAGTAAATAACATTTTCCATTTTACTTAAAACATTAATACAAAAAAAAAATTGTGTCATTAAGATTTTACAATGAAAATTCAGCAGTTATTTTGACCAATAGAAAATCTTATATTTTATTCTTATTAAATACTTCCAATTTTTTTAGATGTTCGCTATGGTGCTCGAACAAAGGCAAATGAAAAATTTGTGTGGAATACATATTTACTTGAACCAGTAGATTTACATCCAGATTGGTTGCTGTACATTACTCATGGATTTATTGGACAATCCAGTATCCTTTATTACTAATTTTATATATCTGATAAGATAAAAAAAAAAGATATATTTAAAAAATTTTGTATTAGTTATATTTATTACATATAAATTTATTTTTACAAGTTATTTTATTCAATTTAAATAAAACTTATATAAAGCATTAGTTTCCTTGATTTATTCAGATATAAATGTATATGGTCGCCCTTTGTATCTTACCTTAATTGCTCGTCGTTCACAAAAATTTGCGGGAACAAGATTTTTAAAACGAGGTGCAAATTTTGAGGTAATTAAATCAATTCACAGGTGATTCTTACTATATCTGAAATTAATTTAAACAGTAAAAGTGCTATTAAATAACTAAATATTTTATTTATATTTATTTTATTTATTGTTTCAGGGTGATGTTGCAAATGAAGTTGAAACCGAACAAATAGTTCATGATTCTTCAGTATCATCGTTAGCAAGAGGGCATTATACAGCATTTGTTCAAATGAGAGGTTCGATTCCTTCACAGTGGTCTCAAGATACATCAAAAATGGTTCCAAAACCACAAATAACATGCAAGTATACATAATTTCTTAAAATTTATACGAAGTGTCGAAGCTATCTGACCATTTTGTGTGTGTTCAATATTCAAAGTTTCCTGAGAAATTAAATATCATAAAAGAAGAATTTCATAACTATCTTCAAGCTTAGAAACATCATGGAATACACAAATCAAGAGAATATTTTATTGATTATTAATATAGTTCCATTGTTTATTTTTCCTTTGAGTTTGGCAAAAGTCTGAAAACTTTCATGTTTTAACTTTAAATTTTATTTGATAAATAATAATATAACTAAGATTTATTTCAAAATGTATTTGATAGATTAAGAACAGCATAAAATCAGCTTGCTTGTTTTTTTTTAAGAAGTTTCTTAAAAAAATTAATTATTTTTGATATTTATTTCTAAAACAAATTTATTCTTTATGAAAAATTCAACTAATAGAATTTTTAGTTATAATTTATTGAGAAAGAAGTTCTTAAAAATTTATATTATTAATAATGTTTAAATGTTAATTTCACTTTTAGTGGATGCAAAAGATCCATATTGCTTTGCTGCTGGTCGTCATTTCAATCAACTAATCTGTCGTTATGGGGCACCAATCATTGTTCTCAATTTAGTAAAGAAAAGAGAACAAAAGAAACATGAAAGCATATTAAGTGAAGAAATAATTGGAACCATAAATTACTTAAATCAATTTCTTCCACCAATGCATCAGATTGAACATATTGGCTTTGATATGGCAAGGATAGATAAATCGTAAGTGATTTTCTTAAGAAATCTAATAGCTAAATTTAATTTTTAGTAAAAGAAATTAAAAGTAAAATTAAAATTAATGTCGGAATAAAATTTAACTGTACACTGCTGTTTGTAGAAATTACAACACCAAGAAAGACATCAGATAAAATGAAATTTATCTGATATATTACACATGATACAAAATGTAAATGATTAGAAAGAGTTATGGGTACAGAGGAAGATCCAATACTCAGTTCTGAGTACAATTGTCTTTATTGGAGTAATAATGCTTAAGTAGCAATAGAAGAGATTCCTGATGGTTGTTTCATATCCTGCTGTCTGTGTTAAAATGCAAATATCATTTTGGTAGATGCTTATGGAGCATGATGTGTGAGGTATGGAGCAATTATGTATTACATTTAATGGGCAATAAATCTGGTGATCTTTCAGAAAAGGAAGAAGAATAACATGTTTTGCATCTAGGAGATGCAAGACATCTTGAATTATAAGTTATTTGGTGTTGTCAAGTTGGAACATTGCAGAATTTAGCCACCAAAATATCAGTTGGCCAGAGTTGTGGCTAGTCATCTGAAGCAGGAGCATGAGTTAAATCCACTAGCATGCTCTCACTCTAACATTTCATACCAGGGTTTTTGGTCTCAGAATTGCATACTTTCAATAGGTGTTTATCAAAAGTCTACCTATCATAATGCATAAATCTAAACTGCAACTTGTCTGAAAACATTATTTGGTGCAATTAATTTTCTCAATGTCTGTTCTTGACTCTTCAAGTCTGATATCAATGGAATATGACCACCTTCTTTCCACTGATGCCATATTTGCAGCACTATACTTGTGTTCTTTTTCATACATGTAGCAATATCACAGAAGGATAAGCCACTTTTTGTAGTCCACAGTTCTGACTTGAATTCAACACCTGTATGTATTGATCTCTCTTACTGCAATGTAGCATGTTTAGTATTTGCAATACAACACTGAGAGTTCAAGTGATGCAACTGTAGATACATGATCTTTGCAGTCTATATTTTTACCTTTGCAGGGATAGTTGAATACATGTGGCTCACACCAAAATTTTATAAAAGGATGCTGTTATAATTATTTTTATTTCTACCATGATCTAATTATAATGACTATAATGCAAAATTTAAGTCGATATGATGATCTTGGCATTACAATTTTTATGAACAGCAGAATATTTATATACAGTCAAACTTCAGGTTTTGAAAGCTTCGCTTTTCAAACAATTTGGTTTATGAACAAAATTTTGAACTCTTGCTCCGGTTGCCATATGATAACACAGTTGTCAAACAAGCTACTTGTCAGAGCCAGCCACCAATGGTCAACTTCCTACATTTTCTATGTTAAAGAAAGTCAACTGCTCGACTAATCAATGACAGGACTACTAATTCAGAAGTGGCAATGAGATCTCTTTGCATCACGACACAAATCATCGATGGCATTGCTATTTAAATTACATTTCAATGCACATGCAGGAAAGATACAATTTCTGTTTTTTAGTATGTGCTAAAGTTGAATCTAAATCAAATTAATTAATAAAAACCTTGTTAATTGATATTCATGTAATATAAATGGCATTCAAGAATTTGTGTTTAAATATGATTAAGTTAAATAACAAAAATTTATTAATACTAGGTAGCCAGTTAATTAAACTAAAAATAATAATTAAAACTGGCCTTTACATCAATAATAAAATTAATTAATTTAAAATTGAAATCAAATCAATTGAAACATAATATTTCAGCAAATGTGGATAAAGTACTTGTTGTCAGTCTTGATTACAAATATAAAGAAATACATTTTATTTCTGTTCTTTGAATGCAGGAAAGAAGCTAATGTCATGGCTCGTCTTGCCGAAATATCCTGCTATGTAGTGAAGAGAGTAGGATTTTTTCAAAGTTGGCCTTCTTATTACTGTCAACAAATGAGATCTCATCGACTTGGAATAGGAGGCTTACAGACAGAACAAGGAACTTATATTCAAACTGGAATAGTGAGAGTCAACTGTGTTGATTGTTTGGATAGAACAAACACTGCACAATTTTCTCTTGGAAAATGCGCATTAGCTTTCCAGGTATATTTTTATTCTCTCTCTCTCTCTCTGTGTGTGTGTGTGTGTGCGCGTATGTTTTAAAGTTTATTGTAGTTTAAATAACTTATTTTTTAAAATAAAATTTGGTATAAGTTAATATAGTTAACAGATCATTTAAAAAGTTTATAAATTTAAGATAAATTTTTATATAATTTAATTTTGTATTCACTTGTTCAGTTCTTCTAAATTGAAGGAGTATTAACAAATTACTGAAAATTACAATTAGGAAAGTACTTCTTAAGTTCTGTTCTATTTTATTTTGTACTGTCGACTAGTGTGTTTTGATGATATATTTTTTTTTTATCTGTGAGAAAGTGAAATTACAACTAAGAATTAAACATTTCACAAAAATATCTGCTTAATTTATGTAGAGTGGAAACTGGATTATTTGAACTTGATAGGACCAGAAATCTTTTGGATAAATGATATTTTATGTTATCCAGAAACTCCTTTTGTTTTGTGTTTTAATTCATCAAGCACTGTACATTTAAGTTTCACAAACAATAAATGGTATAATGCAATTAGTGTATTTAATGCTAGAACTGCAATGGTAGTCATTTTGACTGCTATTGAATTTTACTTAATCAAGTTTGTCACAGGAAACTGAAATCTTTTGACTTTTCCTGAATTTGAATGTTTTGCATTACCACCAAATTTTATCTTGATAGAATTTTTGGGTCCCAAGATATAAACTTGTTTACTTATGATCATGGAAAGCAGTTGTTTTCCAGTGATTTATCCCGTTGTTTTACTTTTTTTTTTTTCACTGTCTATGACTTGTGAAAATTAATACTTCTATGTGAATGTTTCTGCTAGTCTTGTTTGCATTTTCTGTGTCTTAGAGTAGAACAATTCTTTGTTTGTCTTGTTGGAATTATTCACATAGTGTGTGTGTGTGTACACAGACATGAATGATAGATTTGATTTATCGTATTCTTACTGGAGATGAAATTGCAAATATATTATCAAATATTTTGGAAAATGAATTAGAAGGTGAAGTTATGGATGACATTCATATTCTATTGGATAGTGATGGAGAACAGCATCTGATTTTGCCTAATTGATGTCTCATGAATGAACTAGCGTAATCCTCTCTACAAAGAGGTATAGTATGTAATTTACTGTATTTTTTGAGTATGCTGATTCTTACTGATATAATAGATTTACATGAAAACTTTTGTTTTAAAATAATTTTATATAGTAATCTATGGAATAGTAATGTTGTTATTGTTGCTTGCTTTTTCATGCTAAAAAACTGCTTTTGTATATGCATGGATATTGTTTTGTGGTAGGTAGCAATGAGGAAATTCCTGCAGAGTAGTTTTTGGTGCTTAATTTTTTATTATACAAAGTATATGTAGTTCCCTCAATTTTTGGGGCTAACCTTCTGATCTATAAAACTGTCCCTTGAAATTATATAGTGTTCTAGAATGTTATTTTTTACAATAATTATATGAAATCCAATTTAAAATCCTAACAAGCATACTTTGGTATAGCAATCATTTTGACTGTTGTCAGTGGATCTAGGTATACAGAAAGTCTTATGGTTCTAGTGTTAAAGGTAAGTTAATTTACTCAAAATCTAGCATAATGTTTTTTTATATATGATGTAGCAGTGGTGCACTCAGAAGGGGCCAAGGGGTTCTAGCAGCCCCAAAGGGAAAAACTAGTAAATCTTCCTAAAATTTTTTAGAAAAATTTTTAATTTTTATTTTTAAAATTAAGTTTCTAACACTGTGGAACAAAAGGTAGTGTTTTCATACACAAAAAATCCACATTCATGAAAGTAGAGATGAAATGTAGCCCAAAATGATGCTTTGTTCGGCAAAATCAAGTACTTTTTTTTATACACATTTAAAAACTTTTATAGCATTATAAGAAGCTATTATAGCTACAACGTAAGATAGTTTTACAGTTGTCTGAAATATTACACACTTACGTAATATTGGTTGCTGAATCTTTAAAATAATAAAAATGATGCAATTTGAAGTGAACACAGTGATTAAAACACTCATTTTTAGATGGAAAACTCAAATTTCTCATTTTTATCATTGTTTAATCAACATTAAAATGAGAAGTTTGAGTTTTCTCTGCAGTTCCAGGCTTCTAATATCATGGATATATTGACTTTTTGATGTGTGAAATCACAACTTTTTTCACATTGTAATTAGATGGCTCATAGATTTCTTTCTCCATTTTCATTTCATTTGTATCATGTCTTTGTTAAATAGGGTTTGTGCTGTTTATTATAATGCAGTTGTGGAGTTTAGTGAACTTTGTCTCTACATCTATTAATGATTACAGTTTTATTTTACTCTATTTTACTTGGTTTTTGTTACTTATTGACTTAACTAACATTTATTTTCTTACTATTAAATAAATATCTGTTAACTTTCATGTGTGCTTCTCTTATGTTGTATGTTGTAGGTTTACTTTTCTCATTTTGTATTAGTTACTCTTATATTGATAAATAATTGAATCAATACTCAGTTTATTTTATTTAGAATCATTGTTGGCTAGGTAAATAGGTGTTATGTAACTTTCTAATATTATTTTAATAACTTAAATAACGTGACTGGATTATGTGAGAATGAGGTACAAATTTTAACCATAAATAACAGAAAAGATTTTTCCTGTTTATGAAAGGTTTATTGGGAATGAGGTAAGCATGTAAATTGGAGTTACACTGTATATAGAAATTATTATTCAAATTTGTGAAATCAAATTGTTGAAAGCTGTTAACTTTCTATTTAAATTTGAATTTGCAACATTTTATCAGTTTCAACTTTACAGATTGTCTAAACAGATAGATAATTGAACATTACAGTGCTTAGATTCAAAAATTTCAATGTATATATGAAAAAAATCATTTAAGTACTTTTGAATCAACTGATTCATCTTCAGGAATATTTGAGAACTGAACAATGTCAATGGATTTTAAGAGTTTCTTCTTGAGATTGTGTAATTTTAGAACCATCATTGTCTCTAGTTAAGAGAGAGAACTAAAAACTCTACTCTATAGAAAAATGAAGCTATTGAATGATATATATTAGAATTTTGACTTCATTAAAACACTGTTTATATCATAGAATATTTTTTAAATGATGATAATGTTTTCATCGTTTTTATAATATGATATTGGAAATTATAGTTCTTTAAAATTTTATTAAACAGTTGTATGCCTTGGGAGTGTTGGAAAGTCCTTCACTTGAATTTGACACAGATGTTGTTAGGTAAGACACATATTTTTATATAATATTTTGAATATTTGTTTTTCATTTGATAGTTAAAAGTAAACTTTGTTACATCTCTAAAATAATTGATCTTTTTTAACGAAAAGGAATGTCCAAAGAATATTTCCATTAATTTGTTTTTATATGAATTTTTTTTAAAAATATGAATTGTAAGAATATTTTCACTTTCATAATCTGTTTGAAGTTAATAAACTTTAATATTTTTATTCAAACAGATCTTACAGTCTGCATTTCCGAGTAACAAATGGATAGTTAAAATTTGTTTGTATCAATTAAAAAAACAAAAAAATTGATGCAACCATGTTACTTTCTTGGTTCTGTTATCCAGAGGGAAAGTGTGGTGATTGGTCATAAATTGGCCCCCAAGATTTTTACATTCTTGCATTCGGAACCTTGAAATGTCGAGAAATGCAAAAAATTCAGAAGTTTTTCTGTACGTATGGATGTTAGTTTATGTGGGGGAGCACAATTTTGTTTATCCTGTTTGAAGCTTAATAACTCCCATGCTCTTTGTTGAAAATTTCCGAACTTTTGCAGGGCAGTTTGTGTATTAGGGGATTGATATTTAAATTTTGGCGGTGAAAGGTCGATGGGGTGGGGATAAATGGGGTCATGCATCATATCTTGAGTAGGGTTGGACTTAATGACGATTTTACTCATTATTAGCATTTACAATTTTTTTAAAATGCATCCTTACCCTCAGAATTAAACTTTTTGTAATAATTATACTTGTATTATACTTTGTATTATACAATAATTATACTTTTTTGTAATAATTATAATTTATAATAACCATTTCATAATAATTAAAAATATAAAAAGTTTTTAAATAAAATATCATAACAAATGATGCCTCACATGCAATTTTAAACATTGCTGGGAAAGTTAAGCATCTTATTGCTGGATTTTTGTCTGAAGATGTATTGAAAAAATTTCACTTCAAAAATTTCACTTTTGAAGAGTGAAATTTTCTAACTTTATTAAGGTTAGAAAATTTATTTGAAATATTGAAACTTATCACAAGTTTGTCAATCACTAAGTTTTGATGACACACTATGAAATTTTTGCCGGATTCTAATTGAAGAGCCATTCCAAATTGCATAATTGCTAGTTTTCACTCTTCAAAAGTGAAATTTTTGTTTGACGCTGTGTTAAAATTCTTACAGAAAATCAACACTTTTATTACTGAATCTGATTTAGGAAGAAATATTCTATCAAATGGTGCAAAAAAAAAAAAAAACTTCAGTTTTTGATTTGTTACTCCAAAATGAGGCTCATTAGATAAAAGCACTTTTAAATTAAAAATAAATTATGGAAACTGATCTGAAAGCGTTTTTAATGTTTTTTTTCAAAAGCATTTGTTTCTAACAACTTATGCATCATTAATGCATTTTTTAAACAATTCTGTTTCATAAAAATTTGGATTTAAATGTTAATTTTTAATCTGACCATATAGGAGGTCTAGAATGGTAGGCTGATAATTAAGACATCAGCTTTCCACTCTGAGAGACCCAAAATTGAATATGAATGAGTGATTGCAGGAATTTTTAGGATGGTCTAACCTCACATTCAGCCATCCCATTGTGAGCCTGGCAGAACCTGCAATGAGTATAGTTTAAAAAGATCTTCTTAGTGTCCACAGAGCAATCAAAAATGTGGAAAAAAAATCTGATTATATTCATATCCATGTTTTACTTCTGATAATTAATCCTGTCATAATCATGTATTTGAAGGTCTTATAAAAAATGATTAATTTTGAAAATATGCAATCATTTTTTTGTTTATACTGTGATTCATAATTTAGAAGATATTTGCATTGTTAAAAACATTAATCCTATAACTAAAAATTATTTGTTATTCAGTTAATAATAATCTTTTTATAAATGCAATAAATTTTATAAAAAATTACTATTATGTTACAACCATTCATTTTCTTTGTTTAGAATGTTAGAAGAATTATATGAAGATCATGGCGATACCTTAGCATTACAATACGGAGGATCCCAACTTGTCCATCGAATAAAAACATACAGAAAAATTGCACCTTTGTCATCGCATTCGAGAGATATTATGCAAACATTATCTCGATATTACAGTAATACTTTTTCAGGTAACCTTATAATTACTAAATAACTCCACTTATACAAAAAAAAAACAACGAACAATATTGCTTTAATTCAGAAAAGTCAATTAAAAATCTGAAAAGTTCAAGTACTTTCAATGTCAATGTTTATCATCAGGGACATTTGTGTAAAGAACTTCATTGTTCTGGAGTATAATATATAAAATAAAAAGAAAAACCATTTTTGTAATAATGATGGAACAAAAAATAAATTTAAAGTTAAAAAAACAAAAATGAAATGAAATTACTACATTACAACTGTCTGTGTGATTAAAAATATTTGAGCCCTTTACAAATTTTTTTTAAGATTACAATAGTATTTAAAAAATATATAAAATAACATTTTCTAAACTACTATTTAGCTATTAATTAATTAATGAAAATATTCCATTTTTAGATGCAGATAAACAAAATGCTATAAATCTTTATTTGGGAGTTTATAAAGCTGAACAAGAAAAATTGCCCATTTGGGAATTGACAACTGACAATTATTTACATAATTCTGTGGCATCCGGTCAGCTGATTTGCCATAGAAATTTGTAAGTACTAGTGTAGAGTTTTAATATAAATCTAATTTACTTTTATTAATTTTTATATTAATATCATATTTATGCAGTTTTCCAGCACAAAGTTGTTATATACTAATATTAATTATGTGGAATTTATAAATTCAAATACAAAAGTAAAAACATTTAACTAAATTTAAATATTTTATTTCAGTGTTTCTCAACGGGGGCGATATCGCCCCCATGTGGGCAATTTTCCATGTTGAGGGGGCGATTAGTGACAATTTATATTTTGGGGGCAAAAAACAATTTTCTGGGCGATATAGTAAAACATTATATTAAGAATAATTAGATATTTTATTCGTTATATCGTACAATAATTAAACAAATAACATTATACTAGTCACTAGTCTATTCAATGCAGTACGAATTTGGCATTAGCCTTGGCCCTCGGCATTGGAATTTTGAAGTGAAGGGGGCAATACTACATAACGGTTTTATTGAAGGGGGTGATACTACGTTGAAGGGGGCAATGGTTCGTTACAGGTTGAGAAACATTGTTTTATTTGAACCATCGTAACTATTTTTAATAATGTTTTTCTTTCAATGTTATTTCAATGTTTCAGTTTCTATAGTTACTTTATTTTTTTATTCAATATTTTACAGAATAATATAAATCTCTTTATTAAAATGGCATAATTATTAGATATAATTAGATATTTATGAAATATTTTATGTAGAGATTTAATTTTTATATAAAATAAATAAGCTATAAATTTATTTAGGATTTTATACAGTTGATAAAGGGTTTTTTTCTGTTTACTCATTTCAGTTTTTTATTCACTCTTGTCTTATTTTACATATTATTTGTGTTTCTTTATTAGACACTTTTGGGAATGTATGGAATCCATTTTTATTTAACTTCTAATTGATTTGAGATACAATTTTTTAATATGATTCATTATCTGAACTGTTCTATGAAGAGTTAGTATAAATTCCTATTATACAGAATGCTTCCAAAACAAAGGATTTGCTTAACTTTTCCAGCAACATTTGGTGGTGCCTTTTGTTATATTTTATTTAAAAACTTTTCATATAATTAATTATTATAAAATGGCAAAAAACTTAATTTTGAGTATAGGGATGAGCCTTGGATTTTTAAAGGTCTACACAAACAAGCAGTTTTATGTCAAAGAAACTCTTTTATTGTATGTAAATGATATTTAAAGCATAATGTATAGCATATAATGACTACAAGCTGTGCAAAGAAAGCTGTATGGGAACTTATTGCTAACATTATAATTAGGCTTTTTCATTTGTTTGGATGTTATTTGTGTTTTTGTTTGTTAATATGTTTGTCTTTTGCTTATTTGTAGCTAAGTTTTGTCATGGAATGTAGATTCACATTGTAATATTTAATTTTTTTCAAGTCTTAAGTGTTCTTAAATGTTTGTTTTTTTGAACTATCAGAATTTTATGTAAACATTCAGATTTTTAAAGTTTTTATTGTCTGTGATGATTAGCTAACTAGCTTGATAGTACTAATGCAATTTTAGTAGTAGTAAACTTTTTTGTACTCCTAAAAGCAGTGTAGAATTGTTTATATAAAGTAAATAATTTTCATTTATAAATACTGGATACTGGATGAAAAATTGTTTTCATTTGTAGTGTAGTAATAAAATACAAATATATTTTTATAGATACACACAATGGTGGAATAGTGATGTTGCAAAATGTTTACCGCAGGCACTTGAAGAAGGTATTTAAAATAATTTAATGAAATAAACAACACTCATAATTAATTTTTCATTAATTTCAAATGTGTTTTATTAGTTCAGAAGAGTCAAAACAAGTCAACTGTTGAACTGATTGAAGTTCATCCTACTGATGAAACAATTGATGGATTTTTCGAGCATTATCGACCATATGAAATGACTGTGATATCAGACTTATTCAGCTTTAATATTAGTCATTCTATAAGGTAATTGCCATCATCATAATGGTAATATTTATTTAAAACTTTCGAAATATTTTCAGTTGCATAATTTTATAATTTATATATAAATTTCACTGAAAAATGTCTTCCACTTCATAAAAGAATATTTTTTCAAATACTTTTAATATTTGTAGAAGTGTTATGATAGGCAAATTACATATAAAAGTTCACATTTAAATATTCATAATTAATATTTATAGTGGAAAAAAAGCCCTAAGTAGTTATATTGAATGTTAAAAATTTATAATTTTAATATTTTATTATATTATGACACTAATAATAATTTCTAATTGCTTTTATATCTAATAGTAAAAATTAGCATCATAAATGATGGTAGGGGTGATATTTACTTTTGCATCTAATTGAATTATTTAATTAATAATGTGGTATGGTTTTAAAATTTTTTGGCAATATTTAAAATGGAATGTTTGATATCAGTTTATTATTGAAGATATTTTGAGATTCTTTATTACATTTCACAGATTCCACTAAGAAATTTTATTTAAGTATATTTGTAGCTATGTGTCAGTTCTAACTTTCTAACCAAATTCTGCTTTTCACAATTCAAAATTTCTATGTTAAATGCATTTTATATAGTTATAATAAGATAATAAAGAAAGATAACTGTCTTTATTTACTTTAGAATAGATTGATTTTCTTTTTACACTTTCATTATTTTCTCAAATATCAAAGAAAATATTTTTGATCTAATTTGATTATGTAATAAATACTTCTATAAGCTCTGAATGCATTTTTAATATCTTAGAAAATTTATATATGTATGTAACATTACATTGGCCTGACTGACTACTGATTGACATGAAACTTTAGAATATAGCAGATTTTTTACAGAAAAATGAAATGCTATAATCAAAGGAAAACGTTGAGTATTATAAGAAAAATCTTAAATTTCAAAAAAGTAAAATATTTCTTGAATTATAAAAATATCAAAGTTTAATTCATAATACTTAAATAACAAACGACATGTGAACATTTAAGTGCCATCTATTTATTTTTAAAGGTATTTGGTGTTATTCACTTGTTCCAAGTTATTTTAAATTGTTACATTTATTTTCTTGTTGCAGTGTCCTTAATATACAGGAACTCCCTACTTAATGAGCTTTCAGACTTGCAAAAAATTTGACCATACGTCTAAAATTTAAATTTTGCACAGATCCTGAAGTTCTCTTGCCAGTTGTGAGGTAGCATCAAAGTCAGTCTTTGGCCAGTAATAAAATAACTAATGTTGATTTATTTCTATTGCATATTGTCATTTTTTATTTTTATTTTTGTTGTATATTCTGACATTCTGTTCCCATCCGTGAAGTGGTGTTGAAGTTGGTAATGTTGGAGTAACAGCATTTTTCACTATTGTTTGCAATTTTTATAAACTTTTACAATTAGTGTTTCAAAATGCATCCAAAATGTATTGTAATAATGAATCTAATGGTGGAGATAAATGCAAGAAGTATGGCTCTATGACCATGGAAACTAATCTTGAATGGTCAGGAACCCCACTGATGAGTTATTAGGTGCTTTAAGAACACTTACTGTAACTGAGCAGACTCACATCACTATACTTGATTTTATTTCATTATACCCTTCTATAAAAATACAACCTTGCTTTTGTGCGATTAGGGACCTTTTACTTTTTTCGCACAAAACCACAGCACACCATAAACAAATCTTGGAACTTGCCTATATTCTATGCTACAATTCCTTTCTCCATTTCAACAACAAAACGAACCGCCAAAGGCGCAGTGTACCTATGGGCAGCCCAATATTGGGCGATTTATGTGAGTTAGTGATTAGACAACTTGAACAGAGAATCATACCCGTTTATACCCAACATTTTTCTATATAAAATATATATCCAACGAGCATGTCTGCTAACTGTAGCAAGAGCCTACAGAACAGCATCTACCAACGCACTCCAGGTACTGGCAAACTTACCTCCCTTAGACCTCAAAATCCTGGAAACATACTGGAAGTTTCACCTTAGTAGAAATCCTAGTGGCCTCCTTAAAGAAATTGACCTTCCTATAAGTATTAAAAACATAGCCAAGTATATCATTAAACACAATATAGACTACACCCACAAGTACTACAAACTACACCCTGCCTGCAGCCAGCATCCTATATACAATATCCACATGGCTACCCAAGAAAATCAACCACAGTTCAAAATCTTTACGGATGGATCAAAGACACCAGAGGGCGTAGGGTGTTCTGTGGTTATCATTGGACCAAATGAACGAAACATTTGGCAGATGAGTGGAAAACTGGAAGGACATTGTACAGTCAACCAAGCCGAGAGCCTTGCAATACTCAAGGCTCTCCAGTATGTAGACACTCATTTTAACGATAAAAATAAAACTTATGTGGAAATTCTTAGTGACAGCAAGACAGCCTTACTGCAAGTCCACAAATTAAACACAAAACTGAACATCATTGCACAAACAGTAACACTTCTCCAGTGCCTATCTGTGAAAGGTTTTAAGGTTTCTTTTACATGGGTTAGGGGGCCACTCTGGCATTGGGGAAAATGAGAGGGCTGACCTTCTTGCAAAGAAGGCAGCACGATTATCAACAGAACCAGTGTTTCGGGAGCTCCCCAGCTGTTGGCTTCATGGGGAACTTAAAAAACTTACTATTTCGGACTGGCAAGCCAGATGGAACAGCGAATCTACAGGAAGAACTTTTCATGATTTCCTGTCTGACATTGCAAGTAGACAAAGGATGGACTACTTCACCCCCGATTTCCACCTATCCCAAATCCTTACGGGGCATGGGAATTTCCGTGCCTACTTAAGAAGATTTCTCCACAAAGGAGACGGAATATGTGACTGTGGTTCGGGGGAAGACGAAGATCCCCACCACATAATCTTCAGATGCCCCAAGTTTAAGACACTAAGAAAGACCCTCACCGAAACTTTGTACAGGTGTAGCCTCCATTGGCCCTGTGCTCCAAAAGACTTTTTCATGAGTAAGCAGACAGTAAACGCTTTAAAAAATTTCATCATGGGCACCGGGATCACGGTACCTTCGTTCTAGGATTCTCTAGCATCCTAGCTGTCAGCTTCACTCGGAACACACATTGTAACCTGGGCGAACTGGCTATTTGGTGATTCCAGTCTTGTTACCACTCCCACTGGGTCCTGGCCATGTTGGCCATCGGGGGACTCTTGTGTTGTGTTGTATACCGTATTATGGCCAAGTTGGCCATCTGGGGTTCTTTGCATTGTTGCTCCCCATTGTAACCTGGCCGAGTTGGCTGTCAGGGGACTTTTCATGTTTATTTTATTATTATTTATTTTTTTTTTCATGTGTAACTTTGTGCTTTTGTACTCCAGCACATTCCGGGTTGGTATTTTCAGCAGCTTGTGTCGGTTGCCCACGTGCATAGCTGTCAATTGCTCGCGTTCCCTGTCTCCGTAGAGGCAGTTCCATGTGCAGGCTTATTTTCTGTATATATTTTGACCATACTGTTATCTGTGGACTATGCCCCATGTGTTGTAACTAAAGTATACTCAATAAATGGAACGTGATGGCACCATGTTTCTCACTTCACACTTTCCTATCATTCCTTACTTTTCTTCCCTCTTCTCACTTCCTCTAAAACTTTTCGTCCTTCCTATTCAAAGGCTATGCCATAAGGTTTGGCCTTCTAACACTTTTAAACATATCATATCATATATCATATATAAAAGATATGTTGATGACATATTTATTTTATGGAAAACCAAGCCCAATATAAACCATTTCATCAGTTCAATGAACAATAATCCATGTGGCTTCTGTATCAAACTGGACCAGATAAGCAATTCAACTGCAAACTTCCTGGACAGCAATCTGCAATTAGGTGGCAATTGGATAGCAACTAAGGTCCATTACAAGTCATGCTACTCCCCATTATTCATTCTAGCCATTTCAGCTGACCCCTTCGCATACAAGAGGGCGGTGTTCCGGGCCTTAACTAAAAGAGCATTCACGCACCATTCAAGGTTTGAAGACACATTATCTGAATTACATCACATCCAGAACATAGTCACCCAACATGGCTATGGTCCAAAATTAATTTATAACATGTCATATGCCTACTCTTCACATGTAAATCCCAGTGACAACATTGCTATGCACACTCACGATTCAGATAACACTTGGTCCCTAGCGGTTTCATCCTCAAATTTATTTACAGAGAAATTGCGGCATATACAAACAAAAAGGTTGCATACAAGAGGCCTTGTACTAATCTTGACATTATAGAACTAAGTGCATTAAGTGAAAACTACCACATTTGAAATGCCAGCTACTAAGCAGTAGTGAGTAGGTAAATGAACTTAATGTATTTTATTAAGTACATTAAAGGATCAAACACTAGTAATACCTAGTTATTCTGTGTGCAAGTGTGCTTTTTAGGTTAGTTTTTGACTTGTGATGAAACCTCGGGAACATAGCCTATTCATAAGTAGACACAGAAATTCAGGTGCTTCTCTATGTATTTATACATATTATAAATAGAACTCCAAAAATAAAACTTAAATTGACTAGTCATAAAAATTTTTGTCACAATTGCTTTGTAAAAATATTTTTTTCTTGAAGTTTTAAATGATTTTAGTGTAAAATATTAAGATAACAGAACAAAAATAAGAGTCTTTAATTCTTATTATAGTTTGCTTATCTTTTCCTTTGTGTGTGTTTAAAACATAAGCATTTAACATTTATAATTTCTCAAGTAATGGAATTGTATATTAAAGAACAAATTCTTTATTTTTTTATTATTATTACAAAAGGTGGTGACTCTAGGATAAGTCTTCTCCATACAACAAACCCCAGTAAACAAATACAGTGAAACAGGCAACATTTAAATACAAAAGATTTTGATTGCAAACTATTGCTTTTTCATTAATTGGTTTAAAGTTCTAATGAAGGATCATTTGTGTGTGTGTCATTATTGAATCCCCCTGTGAATAATTAATGATGACTTTACTTTTCTGCAAGATTCATTAGACTAAAACTTTATTTATATTAACAGTTATGATTTTAATCTGTTTTGAGAGAATGGAAATCTGCCTTTATTTCTCATCACTCTTTCAAAATCATTTGCATGTTTAAATCTTCCATAAATCTTTGAACTCGTACCTTTTTTTGTCAATTTAATGTAATTTTTTCTTTGTATGAATAATAATAATAAGTGTATGAAATATTGAGACAGCTTTAACAACTCAATTCATTTTTACTAATCTTTTTTATTAAGTGTTTTTATTCCATTGTCTAGACTAGCCCTTTTAATTTCATTGTCTTTAAACTAGTTTTAAGAAACTAATAAATGAAGGAATTACATTTTATGCATCAAATTCACAATTAATAGATGCACAGTCTTGCATTAATTCAAACATTACACCTATACTCCATCACACTAATTTTATTAATGTTAACATTTTCAATCCTATTTTAGGGTTGTCTTTAGGTTATTTAATAAGTGTGAAAGTCTTTAAATAGGGTTGAAAACAGTAGCATTAATAAAATTAGTCTACCAGAGTAAAGATTTATTGCGTGAATATCACATTATGCAAAACGTTCAGTAAATAATTGTAATGAAAGATATCGGTTGAATTACTGGATTAGTTTTAAACTTTTGTCTAGAAAAATTTAATAATAATACATTTTGAATATATTATTGTAAATAGAAACCTTAATTATGCATTTTATCATATATTGGATTCTATCCTGATTAAAATTAATAATTCTTACTAATATTAATTGCAGTTCTTTAGTTTACAAATTTCTGTTCACTAAGATAATGTAATAATAATTACATTAGAATTGCATTAAAGATAATAATTTTACAATAATATTATATTGGGTATAAATATAATAATATAATAAAATTTGGCATTATATTTAAGTGTATATTTTAAAAGTAAAAATTTAAATGTGTCTTAAATATAAGATATCAATTTATAAAAAAATAAAAATAAGTATAAATTTTATGCTTTAATTAACTTTTATAAACTGTTCAGTAACACAAAATGGCATGGCATAATTACCATTAAATATACATTTTTAAATATTAGTGTTTTCAATAATTTTTATGTAAACTCATTGATAAAAATGTCTGTTATTTTAAAATAATTTTTTTCATTAAAGAAATTTGTGAATATAAATTGATAGTATTAAATGAAATTTTAGATATGATAGAAGTTAAAATATTTTATTTATTTATTTTTATTTAGAGATTTCATGCCAAATTTTGCAACTGATTATAGTCCATTTTCTGTACGTGTAAGACCTGGTAAAAGGCGTGAATCCATGGGAACTGACAAACCTCCAAATCCTTCGGTGACTGGGATATCATCATCAGCATCTGCATCGAGTGGAACAAGTGAAACAGAAAGTGGAGAATCTAGTGATGAAGATTATCATTTTATACGCGACAATGAAAATTCTTCTTCCAGTGACAGCAGTGCTAAGTTGACTTCATTTCAAGTGAGCATATTTTAAATTTAAAATATTTTGATATTGAGCTCTTTAAATTGAGTATACAAACTTTTAAAATGTCTCAAGAACAAATTAAACTAAAAAAACTAACATTGTTTTACAACACTAACGACTGTAGTTGTTGTTGTTATTTTTTTTTAACTTAATAATCCAGAACTGAATATCTGGCTTCAGTTTATCTTTTGAGCTATGTAGAACAAATCTTGTGATTTGAGATGTTCTGAAGATGAGAGTTAACTTTCTAAATCTTATATAATCAATCAATCAAATCAAACTTTACTTCAATAAGAATTTTTTTTGTTACAGGGGTTTTATATATCATAATAGTATAGAATAAAACTATTTAATTTTATATATAATAGGACCAACAACCTAGGTTTAAATAATGTTGACAAACTACTTGCTGTGTCAACATAAACACTAATTTTCTTTAACAAATTTAACAATTTAACAACATAAATTTAACAACTAATTTTCTTTAACAAATTTTAAAAAATAATTATACAAACTAAATATTATTTTTAAGCTTTACTTTATGAAAACACAGAAGGTGCATTTGATTCTCATCTTTAAAGTTTCCAATTTATTTAAATTATAATGCAGATGTAACTCATAACTGCCTTTACATGAACAGAATAAATGTAAAGATAAGTCATCAAAGATGCATAATTATATGACATTTATGACATTGACATAATTATGACATAATTATGTCAATGTCATAAATGTCATATAATTGACATAATTGACAATATGACATATGACATAATTATGACATTGGCCCTTTTAGAAAATCATACACACACACACAAATTATTTCTCTGAAAAACACTTTGATTTTCTGGCTTTTAAATAATTTTTATAAACTCTTGTTATCCAAATATGATTTCAATGCTTGTTCTGAATCCACGTTTCAAAACCAGTTTAAGCTTTGCTGTTTTCTTAATTTATAATAGTAACACTTGAAATCAAACCACTGTTGTTTAAATCATGGATTTTTAACACCCTGTAAACTTATAAAGCTAAGTACTAAACAGAGTAGTCAAATATGAATAATTATCTAATGAATTATTACCATATACCCTCAGTTTAAATTACCCCTCAGATTTGAATAAACCTCCATGGCAGTCTCATTTAAGAAAATAAATCCACAGTACTTGAATAAACCCACAAGGGTTTCAAATTACATTTTCTAAGCTATGGATTTTATAAACAACCTATTCAGAATTATAATTGTATAAAGAATTGGATCACATTTCTTGTTGTGTGTTAATTTTTAGAATAATTGTTTTTTCATTTAATGACCTATGTGGCCACTCACACCAATGTGCACAAATACTAATCTTGAAAAAATAAACCCAAAACAAACCCACAAATTAATATAGCCTCAAGACTTGAATAAACCTGTACTCTCAACAAATTTAAAAAACAGGTCCACAGCAGGTCTATTTGAGTATGTACAGTATCATTTTTTTTTGCAATCACTTCCACTGAATCTCTTTAAATTCCATTCAAAAACTTGATTATTAATGATTATTTTACTCTTTAAACAGACAATTATTATATTTATTACTTATAAACAGTTCTAGATGAATTGGATAATGACTTGGCTCATCTATATTCAGAACCTGCATTCTGGCACATCAATTTAGCAAAAACTTACAATACAGAACATAGTCTACAATTGATTTTTCAGAGTAGGAATGAAAAGTAAATTCCATTGGTGAATCTCCTGTTATTCTCCCATTGAGTATAAACAGATTATTTTCATGAAAAAACTTGATTTGTTTCAACACAAAAAAAACCTTTTTAATATCCCAGTATGAACAAATTTAAACAAAATGAATGTTTTCGACCATATGATAAAGACCAAGTTTATGGTCGAAAACGTTCGTTTTGTTTAAATTTGTTCATACTGGGATATTAAAAAGGTTTTTTTGTGTTGATTTATCTTCCCAGGAGTTGTGCGAGAGGTTGCTTGATTTGTTTCAATTTTTCTGTATTAATGTTTTCGTCTTTTGAACTTCTGTCATTATTAATAACAGAATTGTTACTCTTAAGTCCATAGTTTCATCAATTTGAGCATTAAAATCTCCAAAGACTACCTAGAAGCTGGTTATGATTAACTATTGAGTTATCAATTTTTTGTATTTCACTTAAACAGAACTCTCTACTCACCGACACAGGACAATAAACCATAAAAATTTCCATCTAACTCTTTCTAGAAATGTAAAAAAAAACATGTAATGGTCATATTCTAACTCCATACAATTTTCTTCTTTTAATAGTCATCAAAGCTTTTGCAATACCAATAATTTCCATTAGTTTTTTAGCAGAGAACTGTAGAGTTTATTTTGCAACATTGAATACTCCAACAACTAAGCCACTTTATCATATCATGTGCTGTAACTTATCAACTTTTAGTAAATCATAGCTAGTAGTAGATGGTAGATAGAATGATAGATGGTGGAGTGGTTAAGGTGGCAGCAGCATACTGCTTTGGGTACCTAGGATCAAATCTGAATGGATCAAAAACCCCAGGAATTTTTTTGGTATGGTCTGTCCAGATATACCAAGCTTCATCTTCACCACCCAGCTGCCCCATTGTGGGTCTGGCCAAACCCATAATGAGATTGCTAAAGAAGAGACTCTCTTAGTGCCCACAGGACAGGAAGAGTTAAAAAAAAAAAAAAACTTCAAGTAAACATTTAATACCACCACCTAAAATACAGTAGTCTTCTTTGCTGGTATGATGTTAAATGTTTATCTAAATTCTAATAAATATTTAACCCAATTAAAAGTAGGATCTATCAATAATTCTCTTCTGTTATAATTATTTTCATCATTTTGTTGTTCTCTGTTAGAGTTACACGAATTACTTTTCATATTTCCATTAACTCTACTTGTCCTTACAGATTTTGAGTAAAAAGTAATCCATCACAATAACTTGGTTTGTATTTAGATTATATGAAAACATCTGTTTATTCTTCATAAAATAATTTTTAAGATATGCTCGATTTTCACTCAACTTTTCTTTACACACTGTTGGGAGTAATTTCTGTCTACACAACCTTAATCTTTTACACATATCTGCTATAAGTATTGTTGATAAAAACTCTCCCTCCCTCAGTCCAGTTAATTTTTTTTTACAAAAGCACACTCAAAATTGCATTTTGGAGTATTTGGACTTCACTGAAAATTTTACTATTGACTTGATGTCTTTAGTTAGATTAACAATACTGTCTACCAAGAAATTTGTAAACTCTAGCATTGATTTTATGAATTGAACTAATTCAGTTAAATAATTTGATGAAGTAAAAGGATATTACAATATTTTTATAAAAAATGTTTATTATTCTATCTAGCTCAAATTCTAATATATCGTTTACTTAATTGTAGTACTTGGACATAATTTCCATATTATCTAACCATTTAGATAAGTTTTTTAATTCTTCACAAACAATTCATTTTGATCTCTTAATGACTGAATTTCAATTGAATTGATTTTATTTCTACATTTAAATGTGGAAATTATTGTGTATTAATTTAGACAATGACTTTAGAGAGTATTCAACCTTTGGCTCACCTCCTGTCTTCTTTTCTCACATAGAGGTAAAACAATCCTTTCAACTGTCTTGGTTATTTAATCTTTGAAAAAAAAATCAATTCTTTATAGATTCCATATCTGACATTTCTATCTTTTCCATCAATTTTTTCTGATGTTTATTTAGTCTACCTTGTCCCCTTCTTTGCATATTGGAAGATACCAAATATGCAACCAACTTCACAGAGGCTATTCAGTTCTGTTCCATCTTGAATTAGTAACATTTTAATTAATTTTAAACTTAAGTCATAAGTGGATTATCAACACGAGTCAACTCTTATTTAATATTTCCGTGTCAAAATATTGACTTTTGCATCCCATCTCATCACAAAAAGCTGCCAACACAATGACATCTAGTAACTCCCCAAATGCTATGTATAAATAAATTTTTTTTTTATTACAGTTGTTCATTAAATCAATTAACTTTTAATTTTGATAGTATTCTTTCTACTATTTTTATATGAATTATTCCACAACAAGCTACTTAATTCAACTAAAATATGATGCAATCAAAATTAACAAAAAAAAATATCAGTTTAGTAAACAAGTGAAGATCAGTTTTATATATAGAATTTTTGATGATATTAATTGAAATTTGTTTTAAATATGTTGAAATCTTATAGATATTGCTACTACAATTTCATAACACTGTGTTGTGATAAAACTACAATTAAACTTTGGAACATTTTGAAAAATATGATTAGAAATCATTTGACATGTTCAATTATTATTGTATACTGGCACAATGAAGTGACTTTTCTTCAGTCTTTCAATCTTTATTCAGTCTAACTGAATAAAGATTGAAACTTGCCTAGTGTTGAAGAAAAGTCACTTCATTGTGCCAGTATACAATACATAAATACAACATGGTTTCGACAACAACAATGTTCAATTATTAATAAAATTACTATTGATGATTTCACTTTATTTTTTTTAAATTAATGCTTGAGAGGAAAAAAGATTATCATATTTATTAATGTTTTTGATTTAGAATAAAAACAAAATATTTGTTTCAATTTATTATTTAGAGCTAATAATAAATTGTGAATAAATTTCAAACATGCAATTTTTTTTTATTTATAGTCACTGTTTCCTACTATGAAAGAAACTTATGGAACAGAAATTTGCAAACCATCTGATCCAAACATGAATCTCTACAAACAGTAAGAGTTTTTTTTTACTACTTATTTAAGTTTTATTTAATTCTATCAGGAAAAATGTATGATATAGACAAAAGAAAATTGGAAATATATAAGAAAATTGAGAGAGTTCTGATTAAACTATAATATTTTAAATTTAGATTAGTATCATTATATTAATATTGATATATTACCCTATAAATGTTATTGAATTACACTTTTAATAGTATATTTATTAGGAAAGTTATATTTAAACTCAAATATTATTTCATGTTATGTTTTGTTGTAAAGTTTAAACAATGCTAAAATTTTTTAAGGTGATTTTTGGGTGATCTTGTGTTTAAAGAATTAAATTTTGCCTACTGTTAAAGGTGCATTGATTAATTTTGTCATGTAACCACAGTGGCTAGTTTATCCTTCTTTATCTTTGAATAAAAATTTGTATTTAAAATATGCGATTATATTTGAATTAAATTTCTTAATTGTTAGCAAAATTGATGGTGATAAATAAATAAGATGCTAATACAAAACAATATTTCAAACTCCAAAATAAAATTTTTAATGTAAAGAATACTGATTCGTGATTTCAATTAAAACTTTTCTTATAAATAATATAAATACATGGTACTGCTTTGGAGATGAGCTAAAATAAACTCTGAGTGTGTGTGTGTATTTTGGAATGCAATGCATAAAAAATTTTAGAACAGTTAAATTTCTATGCTGTTTCTTGCATTCATTGTTAATTATTTTAAATTTCTTTCCTATGAGCAAAGTTTTACGTTAACTTTTGTAAAAACATGGTTAGTATCTTTAATCAATTCATAAGTATTCTGGAACACAAAAGTGAACAAAAGGTGACTTTATTCAATGGACTTTGCCATCAGTTTTAATTAATTGTTTTTATAATTTCTATACAACTTATCACTTATTTTAGTATTGTGTGTACCAATGATGTGCCGTGACATTTGATGATAGGGAAGCTGTGTTTCTGTAAAAAGCCGATTTCCATGGGCATTCAGTTAATTGCACATCAGTGATGGTCTAGGGTCCATTTGTATTCATTTGTTCAATAAGACAGTAAAAACCGTAGACTTCTCTAAATGCAATTTTAATATTACAATTACATTCTGAATCGCTAGCCACGATATAAGGGCTAAAATTATAAATAAAATAAAAACTTACTTGGTGAAATAAAATGTGTGGTGCATATACATACCTAGTACAAAATATTCTTCAATTGTATGAATATATCAATACTTTTAAAGAAAATTATAATTAAATATGGCTTTGTAAAGAAACGTACATAAAAATAACATAAAATATTCTTTACTTTTTAAATCTTAAAACAATCCACTTAGTCAAATAGCTCCCTACAAGTGGCTAATGGATGGAATCAGAGACGGTCCTGGTAGGTGTGCAGTGCATGCATGCATGCATGCAGGTTGCGAAATTTTGAGGGTGCCGATACTGGTCAATGTCAAATGCCTTTTTTGTCGCATCACTAGTATGTCTGAAAGGATGCGACAGGGTTGTTGTACATTTTAAACGTTTCTCACCATAGCTATAAAAATCTAAATATGTTAACTTAATAGATTGTCCGTGATTTGTTTTCTAACTAATTCATTTTAAGACCAGGTGTTGTCCACGGAAATTTCCAAAATTTAAACTTTTCGGTCACTCTCGTTGAACTGAAAAAATTTCTACCTTTTTTATCTAATATTACAAAGAAATCAGTCCCCACTGTACTCTGCTAGAGATTGGTTTGTTTAAGCTTTTGTTTAAGTAAAATTTCAGCTCTCAGCAGGATATTATTTTGTTCCTAATTCTCTAATCTCTTAATTATTTAACTACTTAAGTAGAAATAAGTTGAAATCAGTTACTTTGTACTTGAATATTTGTAGTCTTGGGAAAAAAGTGGAAAGACAAATTTTTATGACAACAGATACATAAATAAAAAATTTAAGGAAAATAAATTCTAGAGCTTTTTCTGCCCCTTGTGCATCTCTCTCATTCATTAAATTTAATTGTAAATGATGCTACCAAAGTAACAGTTAAATTTTTAACATTGTACTAGAATTGTACACGTTTTTTTCTACATTTCCTTATGGATGGATGGGACATACGAACTCATAATATCACTGGTTTAACATTGAAATCCATAAGTAATATAAGATGGGAGAGCAGAATAAAAATATAAAATATTTTAATGGATTTTTTTAAACTCCTGTCAACTATACAGAATTATCATAAAAACATACCAGTAAACTCCTATCAGTTGGGTTAAGTTATAAATCTACTCATGATTCACATAATGGGGGGAGGGCAGCCAAATATCTAGCATGCAGGCTGTCCTGTATTTGACAATACAGCGCTTCCATTCTGCCACTGATATTCGAATATACAATAACAATCTTATTGTTTTTTCACATGTAGTATAGAAATTTGTAATAAGATACATAATGCAGTTATAATAAAATATTAATTTTAATTAATTCAAAGTNATATGGGTGCACAGAAATCTTGGCAACCTTGTTTTTTTTATCTTGGATATCGGTTTGATACCTTGATTGCTGCTTCTATCTTTTCTTACTTGATTTCCCTGTATCAAGTGACTTTACCCACAGTGAGCAGGAAGGACAAAGATATTTATAAAGCATACGTACAAAGGGGAAAGGTTGGTGCGAATTATCCTTCTCGTAGGAACATCATTCTTTATCATGAATATGCAGCTGTTAAGTAATGAAATTTGACATTTTATTTATTTTGGTAACCACGTATCAGTTTGTGAGTAAATTTAACCAATTTATAAATGTTAATAAAGAAAAGCTGAAAATTTTGGATGTATAAAAGTTTTAAACTAAGTAAATATAAAAGCATTTAATTTATAAATTGCGTTTTTATTAAATTTGTAAACTTAAGTGCAAAGTAGTACTGTACATGGTTCACTTAAAATTTGGTGCATTTACAACAAGGTGGGATACAGGCAACATCTGGTGCACAAGTGGTGACTAACATACAATACAATTATAATTATTCAATAGTTTTATCAAGATAGTCATAACATAACAAAGATATTTTGTTTTTTAAAGATATAATTGTGCCATCCTTTGTCAATTTTAATTAATTCAAAGTATGTTAAAATATGAAAATAATTGCACAATATTGATTTATATTTTAGAAAATACAAGGGAAGCGGCACACCACTGGTATATACATTTTTGTATGACTATTTTATCATAGTTTATTAATTGTAATAATTCTGTGATAAACAGGTACAGTAATTTGGGAAAAATTGCTGGTGTATATGGTTTTGAGTTGAACAGTAATGAACTGCCTAAAAGACTGAGTAAATCAGTGAATTTGTAAGTTTTTTTTATCTCTATTTATGTAATGAAATATATAAAAAGTCTTNCTAGGTCAGTCTGCAAGCAATATTTGCATAAAATGCACTCCTTTGTACAAGTCAGTTCAGTATACAAAAATACATCATTTGTACAATCTCTTCATTTTATGTTTAGTCACCTTGTATGAAATCCAAAGTAAGAAACTTTTGGATTATAACTTGAATAAATTGCTTGAGTGACAAAACAAGATGAGGACCAAATATTAATTGTAGCAATATATGGATCTTATGAATTTTCATTAAAACAAACCTAAACATTTTGGAAATTTGTTTCTGGACACTCAAAGGAGGAATATTACCTGCTTTTATAATTATATAAGATTGTACCAGACTATCTAACGTGGCAGCTTTGTTTTCAACCAACTTTCATTTAATGCAAGCTCCCTCTATAAGTCTGAGCCATACTACATTCACAGGAAATGCTATAACCCATTAAAGTGTTTAGAAACCTTTTTAAAAGATTCAATTCACATGAAAGCCGACTAGTAGTTGTGTGCATCACTTTGATGTCTTTTTAAAGAGAAGTGTGATTGAATTGATTGCTAATGAGCTGCTGTACTCATCTCATCTATGGTAAGTTCTCGAGTATTGACAGATACACTATCTAGACTACACCCTTGAATCATCTCATGGACATGAGCTGTGACTATACAGATCATTTTTATACAATCTAACAATCAACGATTTGCAAGACATTGAATCTTATTAGCTTGCACATAATATATGATTCATATATTATTATTAACATTTAGTATTAAATTTTATTAATACATGCATCAATAAATCTGTATTTTATAAGATAAAAATTATAATTCTGTATTGATTAGGTGGAGCAATATAGCTGTTTTGTATGCAAAAACACAAATTTTTAAAATTGTTTCTGGCATTTGAATTATCATCTCAGTGAATTTTGACCTTAACATAAGCAGTTGTTACATACTTGGGATTATTTTTTAAGCTCAAACAATGTAAATTATAGTTAAAAAAATTTTAGTAGTTGCTTTTGAGGTTATGCTCGAATGTGACAAAATTAATGGATTAACCTAAACCTACTTCATCTGACTATGAACTGATGAAATAGATTAAGATCTTCATATGAAAGGTGTGGAAGTGCAAAAGCAGAGCGAATTGCAAAGTGAACTTCCATTTGTAATGAAAACCTGGTGGTGGCCTTAGTCACCTAGTGACATAATTTTAGGCAAATTTTATTTGCAATTTCTACAGGAATTTTTATATAAAATTTCTGAAAACTGCATTTGTTTGAGTAGTAAAAATTCATATTCAAATTAATCTTGAACTTTTTATTTTTTTTCTCTTGACTTTTGGATAATGCTGCAATTTTATAAGATTAAAAATTTGCTTTAAATTAATGCAAATTACCAAAACTACAATTTGTACTTTAATTTTCAAGTTAGTGTCAGATAGTACAAAACTCAAGTTACTTATTAACCTACATACTATTACCAAACTAAAATTGACTTCCACCGAAATCAGAATGGGGCAAAATTCAAATTTTGATCAACTTTTTATAAATGGACAAAAGTACAGATGACTGGAGATCCAGTCCGTAGATTTGTGTACAATTGAGAGCCACCCATTAGAGAAAAATGGGCACTTTTAGGTTAGAAAATTGATGTATTGAGTTTGAATGAAAATAAAAGCTAGATTAATAATTGAAAAAAAAAAACATATTTATTGAAAAAAAAACAGCGACGTGGAACAGCAAAAACAGATTTGAGCAAAGAATTCTCTACAGAGTGAGTACGGGAGAAAACATCACATTTAAACAAGCTTTGGTCTGCTCTTGGATCTTTGGAATGCAGACCAAATGGTCTTCTATAATAATCACTGGCATATGGATATGTTTTGTATATACACAACGTATATTATATGGGTGCACAGAAATCTTGGCAACCTTGTTTTTTTTATCTTGGATATCGGTTGATACCTTGATTGCTGCTTCTATCTTTTCTTACTTGATTTCCCCCAGAATTTATCATCCTTTCCAGAATCGCTTCCCGTTGTGAAATGTTGTTGGAAGAACGTTGTGCTGACTGCCCCGCTGGCACTTCCTTTCTGATCCTTCGATTTCCAACTTTTGCTTCCTTTCGATCTGCCGTGATTTATCCTACTTTCGTTAGTGACTTCTAACCAACTGGAAGTTGACGTACCTCCTTCGTTTTTCCAAGATCCGTTTCCTCCTCCTCCTCCTCCTCCTCCATCTTTTCTGTTATCTTTATTGGATTTCCAACTTCCGCCTCGTCCTCCATCTTTAGTCCAACTGTCGTCCGATCTGCTTCCTTCGCTTGCTGAACCTTGATCGTCTTCGTACAGATTTGCGTTCAGTTGGTAGTAATTTGGGGTATCTTCGCATTTAAACTTGTTCCACCAATCGCAGACGAAATATTTCTGATTGAAAATCGTTCCGACTGGGCAGAGGAAAGAATCTAAGCGTCCGTCGGCTTGACAAATATGAAACACCTGAAAAATCAAAGTGAAATTATAATTTTGCAAAGAATGATACTTTCGAATTCGATTTAAAGAAAATCTTACTTGACATCGTGCTTCTACGTCTCCGTAATAACCCGGATATTGGTGCTGTTGGCAATCGAAGTCCGTTTTTGGTATGGTATCGAAATTAGGATAATCTTGTCCCGCTTCTCCTGGTATAGCGCTTCCCCATCCTTCGGAAGAATCGTCCTCTTGATCGCTGCCAGCTGCTTCGTTTCCGATATCGTTCCAAGACTTCCCAACGTCTTTGCCTTTATGAGAATTTGTAGCTCCTCTAGAGGAATCGCTCCGTCCAGATGCTTGTGCCCCATTTGATTGCCAACTAGTCGTTGCTGCTGCTCCTCCTCCTCCTCGTTTCCAACTGCTGTCGTTTGAAGTGCCTGATTTAACTCTTCTTCCGCTTTCGTCTCCGCTCGAATGCCAAACGGTTACTCTTCCGTTACCTTTCTTCTGCTTTCTTCCGTTACTAGATCCAGTTTTCCATCTTCCTTCATTTCGACTTCTGCCTCCTTGTTTCCAACTATTTTCGTTCCTGCTTCCGCTTCCTTGTTTCCAACTTCCTTCGCTCTTATCTCCTCCTTGTTGCTTCCAATCGGCCTGCGCATCGCTAGCTCCTGCTTGTTTCCAGCTGTCCCGAGAATCGCTGCCTCTCCCTTGTTTCCAACTGTCTTCATTTTTACTTCTTCCATCTTGTTTCCAACTTCTCCCACCTCCGTTTGCAGCTGTCTGTTTCCAACCGTTGCTGCTTCCTCTTGCTGCATTTTGTTTCCAACCTCTTCCCTTATTCTTTCCATTTACTGCACCTTGCTTCCATCCTCCTCCTCCTCTTCCCGTATCTTGTTTCCAACTTCCTCCATTTCCATCCGAATCTCCTTGTTTCCAACTCTGCCCACTTTCGCTGGCGAATCCTTGCTTCGAACCGTCATCTCCGTTTGTATCCCCCTGCCTCCATCCTCCGTTTTTTCGTTTTCGTCCTTTACTCCAGCTGCTTCCCGCGCTTTCGTCTTGCTTCCAAGCTTGTCCGCTTCCTTTCGAACTACCACCACTTCCCGAAGCCTTCCAATCTTGGCCATTGTTATCGTCGAAGGACATCTGATGCCAAGCGATGCTACTTCCGCCTTTGTTGTTTTGCCACTTCGAACTGCTTCCCGACGAAGTGATTTTCGTTTTACTTCTTTCTTGACTGCCTCCATCTCTACCATTCGATTTCCAGCTCGATCTTCCGTTCGATGTTTGTTTTCCTTCATTTTTTCTCCAGCCGCTTTCACTTTTTCCATTTCTTCCGCTTCCTCTGGCAGCACCATCCGAATCTTTCCATCCGTTCGATTGACCGTATCCATCACCCGATGGTTTCCAATCTGTTCCGCTCTCCGAACGATCTCCTCCATCCCAACTTTTATCATCTTTATCCGATCCCGATTTATCATCCGTATCCCATCCATCGTTTCCTTCCTCTTTCCAGCCATCGTTTTTATCGTCTTTATTCCAACTGCCTCCGCCGCCGCTGCTACTACCACTACCACCACCACCACCACCACTACTACTACTACTACTACTACCGCTGCTGCTGCTTTCGAACCAAGACTTGACTACTCCCACTTGTTTGTTTCCTGTAGCAGAATCGTGACCTCCTTTATCTTTATCACCCGCTTGATTTGCGTCGTCTTGCCACCAATCTTCGTCCGTTCCTCCTTCGGACTTCTTGTCTTCCGTCTGGTGCCAACTTTCGCTCGTCGCGCCCGATTTTCGAGTTTTACTTGATTCTTGCCATTGCCAATTATTTCCGTTTTTATCACTCGACCACCCCCGAGATTTGGCATCTGCGCTTCGCTTGACCTACAAAAAAAAGCAAAGTTTTAAGCACCCACAACACAAAAGAATGCATATTAAAGTGACACACGGTTACACTTTATTTTATCCTTTCGCAAAATGAATTTTAACCCTTTTGAATTTCGTTATAACTATTTCAACAATGGCTTCCAATGATGATGTATAGATTAAGTTACAGTTACTCCAGTTACTAAGTAATTTGCTATAGTTTACTACGTAACAATCATCGAAGTGGGTCAACGAATGTTAATATTTCTCTACTTTCTAGAATATTGTTATTGGGATTTACCCAGTTAGCTCGAAGGGAAATTAAATATAGTTTCTCCGGTATCCACTTGAGAAACTAAACTAGAATTTTAAAAATTTGATAAATCTAGTTTCATTCTATTGTTCGTTTCGACCCGATGCGTTTGGACGAAAGGTGCTATTAAATTTCTATACGAGAGACGATTGCTTACCTTGTCAAGTTCTGCATTGGCCAGACACAATCCTATAAAGAGGGGAAAAAATATATAAAAATTTTTTAATATTTCCATAGAAAAATAATTAGTTTTAATGAATAATTTAATTTTATACCACACTATTTGCATAAAGATGCAGAAAAGCAACTTACCGATAGATTGGAGGTTAAAAATCCATTGTAATTTGCCACCGCTGTGGAAAATTACTAAAGGGGTTGCCCTTTTTATATTATCATGATCAGGATGTTAAATACGTTTATTCAACTTATAAAATTACTTAGTCAATTGAATATTCGCCTGAACGTTTTAAACATATTTCCGTATTTTTGAGCAGGGAAAGTCCCCCCCAATAGTCACGTGCATGGATATAAGTGCTGCGCGATGGCATGTTTTCCTCGTCTTATTTACGTATTTTTCTTTGTATTTTCGTCTTTTATTGCTAAAATTAAGCGAGTAGAAGACGAATACATCGTAAAATAGAAGCAATTTGTAGGAGTCGAGTAGTGAACCCGAACAAAAAAATATGTAAAACTTCAAAATGGCCATTATAAACTTTTTATATACTTTGTTTCCTAATGGAATGGCGCATCGATAAAATCGAACGACCTGACATTTAATGGCAGAAGAAAGGAGTAGATAGAAATCTTCAATTGACAAATTAGGTTAATGCTACGAGAATTAAGTGGTTAAAAATAACTTGCAGACGGTAAGCGTACCTTGTAACGACTTTTCTTATTGGTCTTTCTCTTCCACGAATGTTTTGTCTTTACATTTACGATTGTTTTTGGTATAAAATCGCGTGGCATCTCGTAATTTAAATGATTAAAACCACAAATTATTTAAACGAAAACCTGACACGATCGATCATCGTATAAATTGGGCCGATCGACCAGTTTGTCACCTCACAACAACGGCCATTTTTATTAAAAAAAAAAAAAAGTTAGTTGTTCGGAGGTTTGACTCTTCTGTCTGTTACTGTTTGTAAATGTATACATTTTAAATGGAAATTTCATTTTTCACCATGTTTCCCCAATTTTTAATGCAGATTTGTAGAATGGACAACTCGAACCGTAGACTCGTAAAAAGGGAGAATTTAAATTAGAATTTCTAACTAAATACTTGGAACCCTGCTTCAGGCGCACCCATGCCACTTCCAGCAGCGACGAGGGAGTGCAACGAGCGAGATGTATGTAGGAAGTTCTCGTCTTGGGTAATCCCAGTTGAGGTTTCTATAATACTATTAGTATGGTCACTCGGGGATGTGAAGAGCAGCCACGTCACAAAGTTTCGATGGATATATAAAGTTTAAATTATACGAATAGAATTAACTCGCGGTGAGCAGATGGGAAGGAAGTAGCTAACCGAATACATGATAAAATAATAATAATAATAATAAAAAGCAGAATTATGGGAAATATTTCGAGGACATTTTCTATCTGTTACGATTTTAAAGGAAATGGCGAATAGGCGCCGTAACAATGAAAGGAAAAAAGTTACTCACCCACGACGAAGACCGTTTTCCATCCAAGGCTCCACATCTATCATTAGAAAAAAAGGGATGACATTATTAAGGAGGACGGAACTAGAGTCACTTATAGAATTGATGCAAAGTTTATGGGAACAGATTTAAAATGGACGTTTATCACACGTTCTAGACAATAGCGACGATTAAAATATTTTATATATTTAATTAGATTTTAATCTAGATTGCTTCATAACGAAATCTTTATAGAGGAGGAGGAGGTCAGACCCGAAAGGTGGCGAGTTGCCACCTTTCGGGTCTGACCTCCTCCTCCTCCTTTCGGGTGGCGAGTTGCCACCTTTCGGGACCTCCTCCTCTATTAATATTTGATGTGTTTTATTATTTAGAAAAACCTTTTTTCTAAATAATAAAACACATCAAATATTAATTCCTGTATAACTAATACGTAACATAACCTATTAAATGAAAAATATAATTAATACGTAATATATTAAGTTAAATTGAACACTACGAAACAAATTTTAAGTGTAGAATTCCAGCTTTAAAATCTTCGAACTTAAATTTAGGGAGTTAAACAGACTTCGAAACAAATAGGAAAATGTCACACTCATCTAAAATAATTAGTTTCAGATGAGAATGATTCTGCAAAAGAGATCCACTTCTCAAGCTTAAGTATGTCAATATTAATTTATAGAACAATATCTTTATCTTTTCGTATAAGCTTCGTCTTTGACAGATGGCTCACCAGTGGATAAAACCACTTAACGGTTGTCTCGGGTTCGTGCCCGATCAGAGGTGGCCGCGTGGAGTTTTCCGTATTTTCTCCACTTGCGTAAACACCTAAATAGAGGCCAGTTTCGTATTTTAAAAAAACCCTCCTGGGAGGCACCTCCTTGGCAGATAGCCTTTCTTATCCCATCGAATCGAGCTTCAACAGATGGTCTAACATTTTTCAGATCTAATACTTAATCTCTAAATATTCGATTAGAAAATTGATTCTAATTCGTGTTCTTGTAAGTTAAAAATAGTGTATATGTATCTGTATACATTATTTAGTTTTCAAGGACAGCGAATCAAATCCATCGTTTCCTATCACCAGAGAATCAAACCTATGAGTGGCAGACAACCTTCTCAGTTATGTCTGGACCCTCCCCAAACGGACAGACCGTTATGGATAATCCACAATTTACTTACATATCGGATCTCGTGATTTACATAAACTCGTGAAAATTTATGAAGATCCACTCGATCTGTGATTCCTTCCGGGTGATTCCGTATACGAGGCCCCTGATTCAAATTCGCGTGGGCCTCACGAAGCTATAACGCGCTACTGCTGTGCATTTATAGAGATTCAGAGATGACGATCGGATGGCCGAGCGGACGAACAAAATTCCGGGAAATCACCTGCGACTCGCAAGTAATTCCTTCCGGAAGAACTTTCTATTTATGTGTTAGAAACATGAAAACCCAGAAAACTCCGCGTGCCATCCCGTTAGCCAGGCGTGAACCGACGACCAACCATCAGCATTCGGTACCCACTTCACCACCTGTCGGCTTAGACCTAGCATATAATCTAGCAGAATTTCGAGCGGAATTTTAAAAACTAAGAGAGAACAAATCATTAAAAAACCAAGGGCCTTCCGGATCCATTTTCGACAATACTTTAAAAGCTTCTAGTCTTTAAGATCCGTGGACGAAGGATGGCTCAAGTTCATCCGGAGGCGACTGGTGGACACTTGTTTCACTTACACCCCAGGCATTAATACAAATCCACTAATCGTACAGAGGAGAGAACCTACCTGAATGGTTGGAAGCAATGATGTGTTTGGTTTGGCCCCACGAGGACCCGCCATATATAAGGTCGAGCGCGCAGTGATCCGGAAAGCGATTCATCCATTTGGGTCATCGCTCCCTCCGACTGCGGATGCCACTTCTCCGCGGGTCGACCCGATCGCTATCTTCTTCTCCGCGGCGGCCGCCACTTAATTGGTGAAAGGGGGTGCAGTCGAGCGTGCGACTTTGTCGACCTCGGCCGAGCCACGCCAACAAAAGGTGACAGACATTCATACAGACCGAGCTTTCACCGTTTCCTTTCAACTCTCCTCCTCCCTCGTAGATGCTTATCGCCTCTCTTTTAATCAGGCATCTGGGATAAAACGCCAAAGGCCGGTTACTCCGACTTTCGCTCGGGGGGAGGCATAAACCCAGATTTTTAGTATCGGTTGCTGGTAATGCTCGCATAAAATCCGCCCTGGCGACTACTGAAGAGCATGAAAGGCAAATTTAAATTCTCTCTTTTGTAATTTTGGTTTTTTATCGTGTGATTTTTCAACCTCGTTATTTTGTATTTTTCCACTGTTTTATCGTGTTCGGGAAAATTTTAAAGCCAATTTAATGTTTCTGCTTGTTTTACACACACAATTTATTTTTTGCTTTAAAAAAATCTTAATCTGAATCTCTCTCTTTTTTTGACTCTTTCCGCCCTGTGGGCACTAAGAGGGCCTCTTTTTTGCAAACCCATTATGGGTTCGGCCAGGCCAACAATGGGGCTGCCGGGTGGTGAGGGACGGGGCCCGACATATCCGAACGGACCAACCCCCGAAAAATTCCTGGGGATTTTTCGACCCGTTCGGATTCGAACCCGGGTCCCCCAGAGCGGTAGGCTGCCACCTTGACCGCTCGGCCATCCGGCCGCAGGCCCGACGTATCCTGATGGATTACCACCGAAAAATTCCTGGGGATTTTCGACCCGTCTGAATTAGATTCCGGGTTCCCCAGAGCGATAGGCTGCCACCTTGACCGTTCGGCCATCCGGTCGTCGTCTCTGAATCTCTATAAATGCACAGCAGTAGCGCGTTATAGCTTCGTGAGGCCCATGCGAATTTGAATTAGAGACCTCGTATATGGTGTTGACTTCATTTTTCTTCGGGGGAATATATTACAAAGGATTGGTTTGAGGCCTGTTAATGGAGGCAAAAGGCAATTGCCCTTTTTACTTTTCCGGCTGTTATATATAACAGAGGAAAGGTATGGCGACTGGTTAAAAAATGACCCCCAGATTTTTACATTTTTGGACTCGGGACACCTTGAAACGGCGAGAAATGCAAAAAAATTCGGGGATTTTTTCTGTATGTATGGATGTTAGTGTGTGAAGGCACGATTTTGTTCGTCTTCTTTGAAGCTTAATAATTCCCATGCTTTTTGTCGAAAATTTCTGAAATTTTGCGGGCAGGTTTATGTATTAGGGGTATTGATGCTATTAAATTTTGGTGGTTAAAGGTCGAGGGTTGGAGAGATAAAGGGGTCGTGTGTATCTCCGGTAGGGTCGGACTTAATGACGATTTTACTCGTTATTAGCATTTACAATTTTTTATAAAGCTCATCCTTACCGTCAAAATTTAGATTTTTGCCATTATATAATAATTAACATTTAACAAGATTTAAAAAATAAAATGTAATAACAGATGGAACCCCAAATGTTGTCGGGAAGGTTAAGCAACTTGGTGCTGGATTTTTTGCCAACAGGATAATGCGCCATTGATGTACAGTACACTGTGTCTTAAAAATTGTAGTTCCGCCGTAAAACTACTACGGTAAATTAATTACTCGGAAGCACCGAGAAGCAGTGGAAGATCCTCATAATTTCATAAATATTTTTTTTTATAGATTATTAAGGAATAATTAAAACACCAGGCGAAGAAATAAAACGCCGAATAATTGACGAAAAATTTTCGTCTCGTCCACCTTCTGCCGATACTGAAGCGTGTAAAATGGAGATTCGACGAGCCACATTTGAGCCATTGATGGTTTCCCTTTCAGTACGTTTTCCTCCGATTTCAAAAGTGGTATATTTAGGTGCCCGTGATGCATATGCAATTTTAGAAAACACGCAACATTCGCATCATTGTTATAACAGGAATCGCGTGCAAATTGCCTGCCGAGTAATCCTCCCCACGCGATCTAAATAGCCAAAAGAAAAAAAGTTTCGATAAACATCGACAGACCTTGAACCGTTAATTAGGATTTAAAATTTGGCAATTGAGAAGAAAATCAGCTCGAATTACTGCAATAAATCAACCCAATAACCACGCAGAGATGCGCATGTAAAGTGAAGTTTACTGCTCAAATATTGCATATTATTGCCACCTTAGTTAAGAAAACACTGCAGAAAAAACAAAATTATTTCTTTTTCCATAAATTGCAACGGATTAAACATAAAATTGATTTATTTTTTAAAATTACTTCTTACAAATCGATGTGACATAACCTACTTATTTTTTGCCATCGAATTGACGAAGATTGCTCGATTGTTTTCATACAGAAGTAGATTTTTAAATTGCCTTCTTTAAAAATAAATATTTTAAGTTAAAAATTAATTAAATTAGAGTTAAAAAATGATCGTAGGTCATCGCGCGCAAGTGCCAATCTTCCTCTTGAATCTTCTGTAGATGATGAACGTGCCTGCGGATTCACTTTCGTACCAACTGATCCGAATCGTTTGACGCCATCCGATCGTCGTTTTGAAGGATGATTAATGTAAAAAATAAATTTCTTGGACAAGATATGATACAATTTCACAAAATCAGGATTATCTAGAAAACGTAACTCATCTTGCAACATAGAAAATTCAGGTTTTGTTCGAGCGACAAGTGCTTCAAGAAGCTTAACTACAAGATGATGGCTTTATTCTCTCTGGAACATTGAATACTCTAAAATAGAACTACTAAGCTATCGATTTTCATCGTTTATCATAATAAGGAAACGGGATTTTAAATTAATTCCGAGGGAGAAGGACAAAATACACACTTCAATCGATTGTCTGTGAGTGTTAGGGTTAAATTGAATCCGTCCGGATGAGAATCTATCCGTAGACATTAATGCTACGGCAATGAAAGGACGTTACAACCGTGGGAAGTATGCTAAAGAAGAAATGCGGAAGACATCACAAGTCTCATGTCCCATTTTTTCGGTGCGAGGGAAATCTTACTGCGAAGTTTAATCGTTTTCTAGAGATGCAACCGAGCGAAACTCTGCAAGAATTTTCCGGAAATCCAA